AAGCAAGCAGAGAACTGAAACAACACTAAATGTCAAAAATGAAGTCAACATTTAAAAATGGCCCTTTGTTGAAATATTTTGTGTCTGGCCTTATCCTTGTTGGTTTGGAGAAGTTAGTGGAGTTCGAGTTTGCATGACCCTGCCTTCCTTATTTCCAATTGTTTTTTTGTGGCTGCATACTTTTTACTTCCTGCACTTCTGGCCTCTCTACTGATGTGGACCACCCAAGGAAGAAGTTGCACGTGTAAAATGAAGTGTGTGAAAGATGTGTTTTATTCCCTTCCCCCTGCCATAGGGTGGTTCAGCTTGCTGCTCATGGATGGGCAGTACCTTGCTTGTGCAGTAACATACTGGTCGGGCAGATATGTTACTATTGACAAAGCCGCTCCTGCCAAATGGTGTGAGCCAGTGAATGCTACTTCACAAATGGTACAGGAACGAATGATCATGTCTCAGAGATGGTATTCTCTATCTCAGGTGAGAAGAATTCTCTTTATGTTTCTGAATAATGTCTCTCAAATGGCTTGTTTTGGCATTTGTTTGGAATTTATATGTGACGTGAAGACATTAGCTTCCAGTGCTGATGACCAACTTGATTCCACGTGTCTTTTCTTTATCTCTGATTTGTGGTTTAGGGAATTGGAATTGGTATTGTCCTAATCACCATCATGGTTGTCGGAGTATACATGTGCTGCAACAAGGGGGAACCACATGCTGAGGACATAGAGATGGCACGTATTTCTGATCTATAACAAGAGTAGTGCAAACAAAGAAAATTACACTGTTCATCTAGTTTTGCATTTCTATCTTTACTGTAATATTTGATATCAGAAAATAACTTGTTTCATCTTTCATTCACAGGTGAAAAGACCCCACCCACAGACTTTTCACTTCTCTACCCTGTAGCCGGAGGTTCAGAAGTGTGACATGTAGGACCACTAGACTGAAAAACTCTTTCTCTCTGCCATCAGAGTCCTAAACTAAGGACTTTACCAGGAAATGTGATATACCGTTTACATTGTCAACTTGCACAATGACTCTACTGCACATGCTGCTCCCATACATTCTCTATTATATTCTTATATTGCTGTATTTGCTGCTTAACATGCCAAATAAACACTTTGAATGATAAAAGATCAAATTTTTTTTAATGTTTGCATTTCTGATGTCAAAAACATTAACATTTTGTACAATGTTCAAATAAGCTGAAGTACTCCAATTACATAGCTTTATGAAGGTATTATTCATCATTGATGCTCCACACAACACCAGTCAAAAAAAACAACCTTGAAATGAGGAGACAACCAGATGTGTTCATCTATCTGGACAATATCTTTTAATTAATCCTGACCACAAGCAACATCTTCCCCATGTTTTACAGACTGTATATTGCTGTGTATACATTGACAGCAAACGGCCCCATTAAAAACAGTCATTCTGACAGATTACAGTAAAATAAGTTAAAACACATTCAGGCCTGTGAAACCAGGTAAATAGCTAACGGTTCTTTTAGTCCAGGTGGCACCAGTGATCATCTATGGTGCCGTAGCTCCACCAGATTGTTAAACATGATGTATGCCAGCTGATTTCACACTGCAGGGATCTCAACACCGTTTGTGTTGAAGGCATTCATACAGGAGGCAGGAACGTGTGTCACCTTTAGCACAAGTTATTTTAAATCTTTTAACAAGTGTGATGACAGGCAGGGGGTTAAAACCAGGAGCTCAGAGGGGCCGTCAGGAGTCTTAGGACACATTGTTTGGCGTTTGGAATCTAAAGTGCATTCACAGCAAATAACAGCTTCTCACCAAAAGTGTGCACTGCGTCACTCCTTGTGAAGGTCAGAAACTCCACGTGGCATGAAAGCTGGGAGTACACAGAGTCTGCACCAATTAACCTCCAGAAATGCTGAAACTTACACCATGTATCACACTGTGACTGATATAAGACCCTTGAGTTATAGTTTTTAAAAGTGAAGTTGAGGCTCTGCTAGTAAAGCACTGAGGTGGCCTACAAATGACAACATAAAACAATATACTGTATGTAGAACATGCAAACCTAAAATGAACTACCCAATAAAATTACATTAAATATTCAGATGTCTATGACTAGCTCATGACGTTGCAGATTTAAGGTATGCAATGAGGTCCTGGCGTTCTCCCTTCTTTTTGATTCCAGCAAAGATCATTTTGGTTCCAGGAATGTACTTCTTGGGGTTTTCCAGGTACTCCATCAAGGTCTCCTCACCCCACACAATACCTGGGGGAACACGGACGATCAGTGGTGAAAGCAGCACAAGGCTACAAAAAGGGATCTGACCTCTATGCCCTGATACCAGTGGCCAAAGTGTCACTGATGAACAATGTTAACGTACAACCCCAAATCAGAAAAATTTGGGATGAATGTAAAATCATAAACTCAAACTAGTGATCTGTAAATCACCTGTATTACATTGAAAACAGTACAGCAGCACATTATTTGATGTGACACCTCATCAGTGTTATTCTTTGTTCAAAATAAATAGTTCAATTGTGATGTCTGCAACACATTGCAAAAACACTTGTGACAGTAAAGCATTTACCACGATGTGATGACGCTGTTGCTTTTCACAACACTTAAGACGTTTAGGGACCAAGGATAACAAGTGACTAAATGAGTCAGGTGTCATTTTGTCCCATTCCTCCTGCTAACAAGTCCTAAGGTGCACAACGGTCCTGGTCTTTGACACAATTTGCGTTTCAAAATGTGCCACACATTCTCTACTGGGGACAGGTCAGGGCTGCAGGCCAGTCCAGCACTCATACCCTTTTGTTTTAAGAAAAAGCTCATTTTATGTTTAAAAAGTTAAAGACAGTAGTGGCAGTAAATAGTGAAAAACAAGATGTGACATCTTCGTAGGTTTTGTTTCGTCTGCTACTGAAGATATTCAGATTATTGTCATGAGTGATACAGAAATGCAATATTTGGCATAAAAAAGGACTAGTCAACCTATTTATCAAAAGTTACCAATTTTGTTGATTGAATGATTGATCACTCATTGCAGCTACATCTTAAACCATTTCCCACTAGCTTCATTCTAGCAGATGTCTGACTAATCTGCTGTTATTTTCACTACGTGTCAATATGAATTTCACATATTGATACTCCCTATTAACTGGAGCCATAGAGGGCAGAAAACTATTCAAAGCCTCAATTAACCACCAGTGAACTCACCTTTAGTCTTGTTGGCATCCGTGTAAGAGAAGCCCACTGCCTGGCCAGTCTGGCGTCCAAATATACCCCAGAGGTTGGGGCCTACTTTGTGCTTGCCCCCCTGCTCTACTGTGTGGCACTGGGCACACTTCTGGACGAAAACCTTCTTTCCCTTGTCAACGTCTCCCATATTCAGCTGGAGAAATAACTGAAGGCAAACGAGACTGGAAGAGAAAAAAAAAAAAAAAAAAAAAAGCACAGACAGGGTGTTATCAGAGAGACAAACTACAGAATCAAAAACGAGAGATACATGTAAATTTAGGTCTATTATTGTAACTGTACACCTTCTATTCATAGACCCTTTGTACAGCAGAAATCTTATTCACTGCTCTAGTCTGACAGCGCCATCTTGTGAAGGTCATTTAAGGGGGAAACTTTTAACTGCAGATGGCGCTCAAATTTCTTTACAAGACATTCAACAAGTCCGGACATTTCCGCTGTCGAGGTCGTTTCAAGGAATCCAGACAAGAAAGCAGCACAGTACAGCAGCTCCAGTCTTACGTTAGCCACCTGTTAATAGCATCTTAACTTTTCAATAACAGCCTCAGCTTGAGTTACTCCACAAGAAGAGCTGCCATATTTTTCGAGTAAATAAAATTACGTTAACATTAGCAGAGGAAGTAGCTTTAATGTCGCTCTCCAAGAAAGAAGCCAGTAACCGGGTTTGAACGAACCAACGTTAGCCAACTTAGCAAGCTAAAGGTGCGTTAATCAATGTGCGAATAAGCTGCTAACGTTAACTAATGTCGCCCTCCTTCAGTGGCAACTTACACTAACAAAGCTTACAGTAACGTTAACCTTAAAGCTTCGAAAGTTTAGTTTTAATGTTACGCTTTAAAATAAAGATTAAAGTCACCAACAACACATTTGAAAGGGGTATCAATTTTGATGCTACAGCTAGCTAGCGTTAGCTAATTTCAGCAGATAGAGCTAAATCATTTCCCATTCTGCATTTCCTAAAGACTTTTTAACTTAGTAACAATTTAAGTTAAGGGAAAATAAAATCAGCATAAGGACCAACAACAACCAACAGGGCGGGCTACAGGTGTCTCCTGAACCATCAAGGGCATGGGTTAGTTACAACACTCTACCACTGGAACTGAAAGTAGCTTTTGTGCACAGCTAATTAACGTGGTATTCACGTAACGTTATACTCTGACAGGACAAAGCTCAATGACTGTGAGCTAGCGGGGCCTGGCTACGCCTGCTGATAAGGTTAGCCGCGGATGTATCCACCCATCTAGGCTGTCAAGGATGTTTCAATGTCGGCGTCCGAATACCGCACTGGCTACTAAATGTATGTTACCATATCACTGAAGCACTTGCAGCATCTGACAAGCTTAAAGCTTTAAGGAACATTTTCAACATAAAATTGCCGCATTACTTTTGACTAGCAGGCTAGGCTGATTAACGCAGAGAAGAACCGAGCTAGTCAAAGAAGCTAATGTTAGCTATCGTAAAGACAACCATCCACGATATCCTCTTCAGCACTTCTGTTGTAACTTATTTCAGCATAACCTCTGAACAATAAAAATCACAAACACGATCTCCACCTCACTGACTATCACATACGACATCCACATATAACAAAAATGTGCTTTGTGATCAAAATATATAGTATAGAAATCGCTGTGATACATACCAGTTCTCCTCTGCTCAAACTAGCGGTTTCTGGTAGTCGCAAGGACGGTCACTCTGTGTTAGAGGCACCGGCTTTTTACGTCATCAGCTAACCACGTGCCAGGTTTCTTCTTCTTCTGGTGTTTATTGGCGCTTCGCAGACAAAGATCAGATACACCGAGATAAAATGGTCAATTGATCTGCAATAAATATAATGTTGTACATTCGTTGTTGACATTGTAGAAGAGGAGACAAGAGCCTAGTGAAAGAAGGGGAAATGTGTTAAAATTTTGTGCCACATCCATAATAAAGGTATTTTAACACCTGTAGGGTACAAACACACCAAGGACATAGAAAGAAGAAGCTTTATTTTATTGTCAGTGTAACATGTAAAACGAAATTTTGTTTAGAGCCGAGGGCCCCGGGTCGCTGCGTGCATACGCGCCGCCATCACGGGAAACTTAAAAGGTTCAGTGTCTTGCCCAGAGACACTTCAACATGTGGACTGCAGGCACCGATATTCGAACTCTCTACCTTCCGGTTGGGACACGACTGCTCTACCCATCGCACCACTATCGCCCCCCAAAGCCCGAGTATATAAGCATAGATATAGCAAACAAGGCTATGGCTACAATACTGTCTATACAACACAAATATAAACATACTGCTACAAACATTGAAATAATAAATTTAATAACAACAACAATAATGATTGAAACGCTAACTTTGGCAATAACATTAAAAAAATCGTTTATCTTTACGCCGTTTTTGATCTTCGTGTTTGTTTTCTCGGTCCGCTGAATCCAGACTGTGTATATATATATATATGTCTTACTCATATTTTTTCTTTTATCTTTTTTCTAATGCACATCCCCTTGCTTGTTGACATGTATGTACACATTGACAGCCGCTGTACCAGTCAAACCTCTCGTGTGTCCGACACACCTGGCCAATAAAAGATGATTCTGATTCTGAAGTAGGAAATTCCGAGGAGCACCTTAACTCACCACCAACGGATACTGGCAGCATACCG